CATCCATTCTGCGAAATTTCAAACGGTTGCATGTCCTCTTCGTTATCATACTCATGCAGCGACAAGACACAGCTGAAGAAATGTCTCGAAATTTACTAGTACCAATAAATTCTGCCGTCTGTGCGTGTTTTAAATTTGTACCGGGGAACAAATACTTCAAAGTTCATCTGATGCAGATTGGTGTCCAGTTTGTAATACGTGCATGACGACTTCGAGCGAGTGATAGTGCCCCTTAACCACTCGTTGACGTTCGCGTAGGCGTGTGGAGGCTGATCTTCCTGTCTCTCCACAATAAACTGCAGTGAAGCTGTCACAAGGGATCTTGCAAATGACTTCTTTTCTGTCCTAATAGGCAACCTTATCTTGAGTGTGTACAAGCTGATTTCGCAGAGTATTCGTCGGTTTGTGCACCACTTGGATTTGATGCTTTTTCAGGTATCTTTCAACGAGTTCAAACACGTTCTTGATATATGTAAGTGCTCGCCAATTTCTTGAACACAAGCCACCACACTGCACTTCCTACACGCAACTGTTTGTGTCCTGCAGTGAGTTTAAGTACTATTAGTTGAAGTTCACTTAAGTATTTTTGCTTAGTTAATTTAGTTTAGCCTAGTTTAATTAGTTAGGTAGCTCAGTTTCAGTTTAGATGTCAATTTAGTTTTGTTTTGCTTTAGATTTAATGTCGCCTTTAGTTTACTTTAAGTTAAATTACTTTTTAGGTTATAACTTAGTTCTTTAGCTTCCTGATTAATTAGAGTTAAGTTTGTTTTATCTTATTAAGTTTAGTTTACTTCTGGTTTTTTTACTTCTTAGTTTACTTTATTTGGAATTCTCTACGTCAATCTCAGCTGAAATACTGTCAGACGCACATTCGATAGTTCTCTTCCCCCGGCAAGGCTGTCCATCCTCTTCTGTAAACCCAGGAATGCCGTCCGCCAACCCTTCCCGCCTTGTTTAATGCCCACCAGCTCAATAGATAGCTGTTTCAAGCAGCTGGGCTGAAGACTCGTGACCGACTCTGTAGCGGATAGCCAACAATGCTGTCTCCCCTCCCTCGTTCAATACTCCCTGCCTCAACTTCAAGCAACTTCGCGCAGGCAGCTGTTTGCGTCTGGCTGGCCCGAAGACCTTTGCTCGTTTGACTCATACAAGGTAGTCAAAGCGGCCCCGAGAGCCACTTGAACATCTTCTCTGTCGGCCTCTGTACACGAAACCCCTTCTGGGCAATGTTTCTATTGGGAATGCCGCCATTCCCATGACGAGTCAACGCACACAAAGAATTCCAAGCCGCTCGCTGCAGCCAGTCTTGATTGCTCAATTCTGATTGGCTCACTGTCCAGATTTTATCTTTCGCGTTGCCCCTTAAACGCTCTCAGCCTTTGTGTGTGACCGACTTGCTGAAACGTGCTTTGTCTGAGTACACGCTCTTTCTATGGCCGACTGGTCTCATCTCTCTTACGGGCTTGGGGTATCTTCCATGCTAATTAAAGGTACCAGGCGCGGGTCGTAATAATTTCACACCACTCGGCCGCCACATGAACTATAAGTCTCGTGAAAGCATCAGCCAGACTGGTTTTCTCCCACGCGCTTCGTCCTGCGCACTTGTGGCGTTATTGGACATACTTTGTTCCTTTGTCAAGAGTCAGGCTAAACTGGCCGACGCCTTTGCGTTTAGTTTACATTTGGTTGAGCTTAGATTGTATTATAGTTCATCATTTAGTTTTATTAGTTTTATTTTACTTAAGTATACACGGTGGCAAGGCGTTCATGGAAAACCATGATCAAAATTGGATTTTGTTGTTTAGTATAGGAATTGCGTATTGACAAACAGTTGTTTACGGTCACTCATCTTCAGGCCGATACAAAGAGATGAAGAATAGTACGGCAGCTATGTGCGGAGTTAATATGGTCCTCGGG